CTAGGAATGCAGTGAGCTCCTTATTTTATAAGTGGAGGGAAGTGAACCTTTCCTTCACTTCAGCATATTGTAGAAATAGTGAGTTGAATTTTTCCTATTTCCCTGGAATTGGTGACTAGGGTCCAAAGATGGAGACAAAGAAGCACTCAGTACCACACATTCTAGACAGTTGCTAAAAATTAGGATCAGATACTCTCTCCAGGGCTTACAAAGAGGTAGGAGAACTGGCCCTGGTACCTCCAACCACCAACCCCACCCATCCCTCATCACTCTACCTCATTCCAAGTCTATGTAAGATAAGATGACTCAAGGGAGGGAGTCATGAGCCTAACAGGGAGTCCTTTCCACCCCAAACCAAGCAATAGGATATCAAAGAGTCTGCTTGAAGGAGAAACTGATTTCTCATTCTCTCCGTAGACGATCTGTTTGGTCAGTGGCCTTGGTCAGCTCTGCATTTATTTGGGAAGAGAAAAAGCAATTAGAGAGAAGTGGAAGGACAGAGGGATGGTAGCAGTGGAATAGCCTGGATTCTTCCTGTTTGGCTTAGCAAAGACATGAGTTTCTTGTGGTCAAAGGGACACTGAGAAAGGTAGATAGGCTTGAGCCATGTTGCTTGTAGCCCATCCAAGAGGATGCCTGCTGGACAGAAGTAGGGGGTTAAAGACGACTTAGAGCAGGGTGGTCTACATTAAGGTTCAACTCAGTGGAGAGCCTCATGGGACTTTCTAAAGAACTCACACAAGTGCCCCATAAGAGATCTGGCATTTGACAACTGCCAGACAGTAGGCTGGAATGGCCTGTCAGTCACAGCCAGCAATGGTTTGTGATAACTAACTACCTTGTTAAATGAAGAGACATTTATCTCGTTCCTCTCTGCTTTCCTCCTGGTTCCCAACCTCTGAAGAGCTAGAAGCCTTCCAGAGCAGGGGTCCCCAACCCCTGGGCCATGGACTGGTGCCGGTCTGCAGCCTGTAAGGAACTGGGCCACACAGCAGGAGGTGAAGAGCAGGAGGTGAATGGCGGGCAAGCCGGTGAAGCTTCACCTGTATTTGCAGCAGCTTCCCAGCACCATCATCACCTCGGCTCCACCTCAGATCATCATGCCTTAGATTCTCACAGGAGCACGGGTCCCTGGTGCCAAAAAAGTTGGGAACCACTCTTCTAGGGAACCACCTAGAAAACTGGAAGGGGAGGAGGAGGAGCCATAGAAGGGACCATATTCTTCCCACTTTCGGTTCCTTAGGCCATGGCTCAGGCTCGGGGTAAAAGAGGGGAAGAGATGAGTTCTTCACTGGACCTGAGATTGGAGTTCTACATTATTTAGATTGGATTGAGTTTTTGCATAACCAAAAGGGAACAGAGAGTTATGGAATCTGTCCATGCTGTTGTGAAGACTGAGAAGGAGACATTTGTCATGGCACAGACTGTGATAGGGTGGGAGTTTATGTCTATCCCCAACTGAGTTCAATGGTCAACAGGTAAGTTAAATTTGTCTATCACTAAACCCATCTTTAAAAGTGCTAAGGGCAAGGGGCACCTGATTCTGGGCCCACCACTGCTATGTCATCTGCAGCAGCTGGGTGGCTTTTCTGTTTTATGCTTAAACTTTTGTTTGGAGGAAAGGTTTTGCTGCTAAAAATAACGGTTTGAAAAACATGGCTTCCATGGGGGACCATTTAAGGATTTTACACAGGGAAGTGATATAATTAGGTTTTTGTTTTAAAAGGCCAGTTTGGCATCTGAACACGTTGTGGATGATGGATTGGAGGGATGTGAGACTGGAGGCCCAGAGATCTGTTACAGACTGTTGAAACAGTCCAAAGGAAAAATTGTAAAAACTGGCAACTCTGGGCTCCATCCCAGAGTGGTGACATCCACTTTGGATGGAGCAGGGGGCTTCATGGTTTGCAAATCCCTACCCAACTGCTTCTCACATTTACATTTTCTGCCTGGTCTTTGCCTCTGTGACCCCTGCCTCTTTTACTCTTGCCTCTTTATCCTGTAGATCCAGTGTGCCACCAAACCCTGTTGTTTCTTCCTTCAAATTATCTAATATTTGTTTCTCTCCATTACTATTCCAACACCCTAGACCAAGCACTTAGCATTTCATGCTTGGATTTTTCCAGGAGCCTCTTACCTGGTCTTCCCGCTTTCAGTCTGTCTGCCAACCAACCCTACATTGCCATGACTGACTACTCTGTTTTTCATGACATACTGCTGCCATGAAAAAGAGTATAGTTTTATCAAATCTTGCTTCAGATTTCTCCTTCTCTTCCAGGTTTGGCTTCTCTAGAAAATTCGAAGCAGAGTGAAAGATTGAAATAGCTATGAATACATTTCAGTTCTCTAGAAGCCGTAGTGATTATGCTTCCTTTGCTTCTTTTTATGTGAGATACTTGTAAATTGAGCAGGATTTAAAAGGTGAGGGAACACATGCCACTTTTTCTCAGAGAAAGATTTTGTGAAGAAAGAATTTTGAGTGGAGTGGAGAAGGAAATATAACAGACTTTCGTATTTCAGACTTTATGCTATCAGATGCTCCCAAGGGGTGGTGAGTAATTACTGGGGTTGAAAATAATGGTGAAAGGTGGTGATAGGAACATAGAGAAGCAGTATATGTACCTGGGAAAACAAGCCAAATGTGCAAGAGCCACGGAAGACACTGGGACCTTCTGGGACACTCACAGAGGTGCTGGTTCAGGCTTGAATGGAGCAGACAGGTGAAAAATGGGTTCACCTGGAACTTGAATCATCTTGAAGATAAATTCTCCTGACAATTCCTAAATTCTTTCTTAGGAATCACTGGTTCTCTATCAAGGATTTTCTATGGAAAAACTACTACTAGGGTTTAGAACCACACTGTGTGCCGCTCTATGGAGGGAGAGGGAAGCTGGGAAGTGGGCCACGTAAGCAATAACAGAGATTTGACCTATTTTCAGGATTCTATCTCTCTCTTACTTGAGCTAAAAGAAAAAATGCAGAATTTAAAGAAGTCTTTCTTTGCCTTCAACATGTCTCACTATGTTTCTCTTTCTACAATGCCCCCTCCCCTCCTTTATTAAAATGCTGCATTTCAAATGTATCTTTTCTGCCTCGTTTTATCTTACTTTCCACGGCGGCTCTTGGCCTTCTACTGGAAGGTTCTCTTGGATCTGTCTTGTGTGTAGGAGACAATCACATATAATCAAAGCCTTGCTTGGCAAGTCAGGTTAGTCAAGCAGAGAGAACCTTCCAGTAGAAGGTTTAAATGAGGGGATTGAACAATATATTTACAAGATTCCTCCTAGCCCTGAAATTCTGTGATTCTGACAAAGATTGTCATTTTAGATTTATTCCTCTCATTAAGCCATGTGTATTTGCTTAAAAAGTATTATTTGGTTGGCTCAGTCTAAAGTTAGAGCCATGTCTTTTTTCAGGTTTCCTGTCACCTTTTTGACTATTCTATTCTTTTCCTTGCTCAGATTAAACGAAATTCCTTCTCACTACCAGTTTTGGGAGCTGGAACTAGAGTTCCCATCCCTCTGTGTTACAAAAGGAGCTGTCTTACATTTCTACTGTTCTTGGGGCAAGAGTCGTTGGAGGGCTTGCTTTTGGCCTCGGAAGCCCAGAGATTCCAATTGTGTGCTCCTCAAAAGTAAGGGCTGTATCATTCAGCTTTTTTTTTTTTTAAATTCACCCCTGCAGCTTGTGTAAGGAGGCCAGTGTTCAATAAATATACCAAAGAATAAAATAGCTCTGCCCTTACATTTCCCCCCAAAACCACTAGGTGTCGCCTTCATCTCAAAGAAACTACGCCCCCTCCTCTCTCCTTGTACTCGCACCCTCTTCCCTCCTATTCCGGCGCTCTCTCACCTTTTCGGCACTGTGATTTCTGGAGGATTGGTTTGCAGGGGGAGGAGAATGGGCTTATGTGCATCTCCTTTATGACAACTGAGAAAAACTCCCCAAGGTCCCATTGCACTCCCTCCCAGCAACCATGGTATCATCTCTCACAAGCTGTTCATCGAGATCAGATCAGCAATCCAGATATGGGGTATCTGGGGTGAGCCTTCTAGGTTGGAAGCTTGGGAGTGGGGCGGAACCCGAGGGGTACAGTGAATTTCCACTGCTGGGAGACTGTTCTGCTTAGTCAGTTCATGAGCTTTTATCAGATGCTAGCCTGTGCTGTGTGGGGAGGCAGAAGAGAGAAGAGGCTGTTCTGGGCTCCTGCCCTGGAGCAGATGGCTTGGTGGAACCTAGTGGGCTATGGGGGGCCTCTGAGGACATGGGAGGGCACGGAGGGGGCATGGGGACAGGAAGAGGGAGATTGAAGCGTTGAGTCCTAAGGGAAAAAGAGACTCATGGGCTTTGTAAGGACTCAGGAAAAATCGATCATCTGCGCCCCTTGGTCCTGGAGGGGCCAGTCTTCCAGCGAACAGGCATCTCTTGCTGGTGAAGGAGTGAGAGGTTCCTGGCAATGAGAAGGATGGTATAGTTTACTAGGTGGAGGACTAGCGAAGATTCCAAATATTTGGGGATTCCTGAATGCTTCCTGGAGACTGGAGTATTTTAGGGACTCAGTGGAATTAAGTGAGGGAATCCTAAGAAGAGAGGGATACGTGAGGGGTGGGAAGAGAGGCCCTGGGTTGATAGGAAAGTGTGAGATGGAGAGCGAGAGGAGGAGTGGCCCAGGGGCTTGGGGGAGAAACGGATAGCCCCTTATGGTGAGGGAACGCCCGGAAACCTAGCCGGCCGGAGAGGCCTTGTGCGGGGCCCCCGAGTTGTCACCGGGTGGGTTTGAGACCTGGAAGGTCCCTGGGCGCCCGGGTGTGGGGTGGGG